TATATATATATATATATATATATATATATATATATATATATATATATATATATATATATATATATATATATATATATATGTTATTTGTATTCATATTGATAATGTGCAAAGAAGTGCTTGATACGTCAATTAATTCCTGTACAGCTGGATTTTAGTCGTTTTTATTAGACAAAGAACGCCTTATTGGATATGTATATCTGTCCTTCCATCTTGGCTTCACTCCTCTGCACAGCGCGCAGTTTAGTGTATATGTGTATAGTTTGCACCCTAAAAGCCAACGCACAAGCACGTAACTTGTTACGTTACGTTAAGTACTGACAATGCAATGGCCATACCTGTACGTAAAATTAAACTTAAGTCAACGCACAAAGAAATCCGTAAACTTAACATGTTACGAATGTTCTTGTGCGGAGGCTCTGAGAATGACAAAATACTCATGTCTATCAGTTGGAACCCTGATACCGTCGGGCAAATTTTGACCGTAACTGAAGTTCGTGAAACTCATTCTTGGAGCCTCCGCACAAGAACATCCGTAACATATTTAGTTTACGGATTTCTTTGTGCGTTGACTTAAGAGTTTAATTTTACGTACAAGTATGGCCATTGCATTGTCAGTACTTAATGTAACGTAACATATTACGGATGTGCATTGGCTCTTGGTTGATCTTGCAATCTATGTGCCACATGAACCTAGTCTAACCTTTCAGAATTTCATAAAATCTAATTTTATAATATTGTTGAATTAAAAAAGTGATGCGCTCAATTAATTCTTTGAAAATGTTTGCGAAAATAAAATTATTGTGAAAAAGGAGGCAACATGATAATGTATCATAAAGACGAAACATTTTTGTAAGAACATAGAATAGCAACAAGATGTTAAACATTACATCTCAGACTTATAAACATTGTGTGAGATACTTGACAGAATCGTGCCGACTATGTAGTACGGTAAATATATTTCATTTCTAATAAATGATTTCATAAGCAGCATATATATTGACTATACTTCTATCAGAAAACAACAACCTTAAAAAATGATCAACTTCATGATATAATCGGTCCTCCTGATCCAGTTTCTAATTTGAGACCTATAATATTTGCACGTCCAATGAAAGAAACTTACTTAGAGAAGAAATATAGAGAACTTAAGGAAGATACTCAACAATGGAATCAAACATTCTGGTACAAACATAATACTAATTTTATTCAGGTACATCTCATATATTTCTCTTCTAAATATATCATATATGATTTAATATCATTGATTTAATATTGCAATGTTAATTGCAGGAGCGAAAACAATTTCAAGAGTTATTAAGGACTCAAGGAAAGATGACGTTAACTGCAGATGAAATGTCAGTATTTTACAAACAATTTTTAGATAAAAATTGGAAATCTCACTTCAATTATAACATAGCATGGTATAAAAAAAATATAAAAATTCTATTTCTTGGAATAGCAGTAGGAATATGTAAATTTAAGTTTAAATAAATATTTATTAAAGAATGTTACTTATACATAAAGCGGAGTCTACAATGAAAACTTAAGCCATAATATTTAAGCTTTAAGCCTGAAGCCGTAAGAAATTGACTAATCACTATCAAATGTAAGGAAAATAATTGATTGTGATTAATTTCTTATAATTTCAGGTTTAAAGCTTAAGTTTTATGGTTTAATTTCTCATTGTAGACTCCGCTTAAGATGTTAGAATTTAGATGCTCTTGTGTGCAGGTAAAACATGTTAAACAGAAAAAATACTTTTATTTTTTATTTTCTCGTATTAATATTTCTTTAATTACCATGATAATTTACAAGATCATCGATGATTTTCCTACTTAGTATTGATAAGTTTTACTTGTAAACAAGCTTTCAGATACCTAAATCCAGACACTTGGATATTATGATTATATGATGTAAGATTACATACAGCATTAATGTTAGTTCCTTGGGGTTTCTTGATTCCTTTGTTTCTTGATTCCTTTGATAGCATTTTTTGTAATACCTTCAATTGCAAAATAAGTGATCTTGTTTTTTTTATCCCTTCTCTCTTCTTTTTCATCTATGCCAAGAATTTAAAGATATTCCGTGAAAAATAAACTGAATAAACTAAAAGGCGAACGTGCGAACGTCCTATAGTAAAAGGATGATCATAAGGCAAAGAGATATTAAATACGCTATCGCCATCGAAAATAATCAACAAGACAACGTGCAAATGTTATTAGCGGAAGGATTTGCAAGTCAAATGCGCGAATATTTCACAAAGAGAAAAGGGTTCCACCTTGTAAAACTGAGGAAATTATAGGACAAATTCGCGTACGCTCCGTAGTAAAAGAAAAATGACTATATACACATAAATAAAAGGAAATTATAAGGGGCGAATATGTTATCGAAAAGAATCAGTGATGTGCTAGTACTGCCTGTTTTGATATAAAGATTTGTGAGGCAAATACGTGAACACTTCACCTATAGAATAAAGAATACTAGGAAGGAGCACAAAGAGAAAATCCTTTGTTAGAAGTGCGAAGAATTGTGACGTAGTGAAAGTGAATTAAAAAATTTATAGATAACGATAGAATAAAAATAACCATTTTCTATCGTTTTGAATATGGATTTTGGTTCGTGAATTTACAAAATGTGAATAGTATTCTATCGTATACAATAGAATACAATAGTGATAGAGTTTCTATCGTTAGTTTCCTATAGAATACAAAATCGGGTATAACCAAATAAAATACGATAGGATTCATATCTGAACTTGCGAGCGTGAACGATACAGCTTAAAGAAAACGATTCAAATTGATAGCGCTATCAATTTAAATCGTTTTCTTTAAGCTACGAGCTCGTATATCATTCGCTCGCAAGTTCAGATATAAATCCTATCGTATTTTATCTGGTTCTATAGGAAACTAACGATAAAAATTCTATCACTATCTATTGTATTCTATTGTATACGATAGAATACTATTCACATTTTGTAAATTCACGAACCAAAATCCATATTCAAAACGATAGAAAATGGTTATTTTTATTCTATCGTTATCTATAAATTTTTTAATTCACTTTCACTACGTCACAATTCTTCGCACTTCTAACAAAGGATTTTCTCTTTGTGCTCCTTCCTAGTATTCTTTATTCTATAGGTGATTCAAAGATAGAAAATGGTTACTTTTATTCTATCGTTCTCTATACACACACATTTTTTTACCAGGGAAATGCGACTATCGATACTATGGAATTCGAAATACATATTATGACGTAATATTGTCAATTAATCGAATAGACAAAGGTGCGTAAACGTATTGAAGAGAAAATTATTATAAGTGACTAATTTGATTTCGTTCACCAATATTAGCAAAATATAAATACAATTTTTCTATTATTCTTTTTAAATTAATTGCTATATACTAAATTCTTTGCTATATACTTCCAAGATGTTTAAAGTATACCGCCAGACTGTGTTTCCGGTAATGTTATTTATGACATAATACGTCATCAAATGAACACAACCGATGACCCATGCAATATCGCAACATGCTCCTTCCTGGATTCTTCTTTATACAATGATCAATATGCCTATGTTTCAATATTCATTGCCAGTATTGAAAATCAATCATACAATTGTGCTAAGTAAAATTGGTATTAGTTTATTCGTAATTATACAGATTTGTTCTTTGCTTCTTTATAGATTGTATAGATTATGTTCTTTTTGCTAGCCACAACACGATACTGTAAATGCATTTCGTTTTCTTATGCTGCTGCTATTTATTGACAATTTTGGAGCGATAAATATGCTGGTTTCAGTATCAATATTGTCAGCACTATTTCGGAACGCAGCCAAAGAAACTCTACTATCGAATGTCGGCGCAGTGTAAATCCTCCATAAAATTCTTTGCCGGCAAGTTGGCAAACCTGAGAACGATGATGCACTCATTGCATTCGCGATTCATCGCCGTTTGGTGAGTCTAGTGACGTGACGTCGCGGTAGTGCGCACGGGGTCGAGGAAGTGGAAGTTATCGAGTAGAGTTGATGAATCGGGATACCTGAAAAATTCCACGGGGAAACAATCGTGAACGATCATCATGGCCGACAACGAGCAGAAGGCATTACAACTGGTGGCGGAGGCCGAAAGGAAGCTGTCGTCGTCAAGGGGCTTCTTCGGCGCTCTATTCGGGTGAGCTGACACTGGCATCGATTCGTCACTTGAACTCGCCCGGATCTCGTTTGGATAAATCACACTTCGTCCTGCATCTCACGTCACTCGCTTGCGCAGCTGTATTCGTTCGCGGATCGCAGGGAACTCTAGCTAAGCTTTTCGATTCGATCGTATTGCAATTTAGTTTTCTTCGTTTTGCACGATCACAAGCGCGAATCTGTGTGTGTACTATGTATGGATATGTGTCAACATGTATGTACATCTATGGAGACAGTATTATTGTTTGCCACACGCGACTGAGATTCTCCGTGTCGCGAGATTTCTCAATTATTCACACTATCTCTTAGGAAATTTTAATTGCTTGTATGATTCTTACATGAATGAGTCAAGTTTTGATTAGTTCTGCATACTGACAAATTTGTCATAACTGTGCATTACAATAATAAATTCTACATTATTAATCTAGATCATTAATATTATGATCTGTTACACAGTGAGTCAATGAGTCAATGATTAACTTTGCAGAAGTTCGTCCAAAGTTGAAGAAGCAGTAGAATGTTATCAACGGGCAGCAAATATGTTCAAGATGGCAAAGAAGTGGAGCTCAGCAGGGAAAGCATTCTACGACGCAGCAGATTTACATGCCAAGGCGGGTAGTCGTCATGACGCAGCTAACAATTATGTAGATGCAGCCAATTGCTTCAAAAAATCTGATACAAATGGTAATTATTTATAAAAGCAAACTTGGCATAGGAATTTTCTATAGATTCCTGATAGATTTTGATATAGTAAATTAAATACAGCTACAAAAAGTGTTTATTGTACTTAGATTTTGAGATAATTGAAGTTAAATTCTCAAAAATAGGCCATTATAACGATTTTGTAGCTGCTCTAACTTTGAAAACACATATAATTAGCAGCTCCACTGGATCTTAAAATAAAGTTTTTAATTAATACTATCACTGGAAAAAATAAAACTAAAAATAAAACTTTGTGCATTATTCTCTTGAATTAAAGGAAGGAGGAGGATGCTAAAATAAAATGCAAAACCCTGTTGTTAGTGCTATTGAACATTATATTAAATATAATTTCATGCTACTCATGGACCCCTAATTTTGCAGGCCAATGTATTTATTGATTCAATTTCAAAATAAACTTGATATTATTCTATGTCCTTGCAGAGGCAATCAGTTGCTTGTTGAAAGCTATCGAGATTTACACTGACATGGGTCGTTTTACAATGGCAGCTAAGCACCATCAGAGTATAGCTGAGATCTATGAAAGTGAAGCAGTTGACTTAGAACGTGCAGTACATCATTATGAACAAGCAGCAGATTATTTTCGTGGTGAAGAAAGTAATTCCTCTGCAAACAAGTGTCTTCTAAAAGTTGCGCAGTACGCCGCGCAACTTGAGAATTATGATAAGGCCATTCAGATTTATGAACAGGTAACATGTGGAGATTTTCCTTTTTGTAACAAATTGTTAACAATGAAACAAAACGATCTCGGTTGCATTAAAAAAAATTTAATGTTATTGTGACGAATATAATGTATTTTCTTGCACTTAAATTGAATTATAATATTGATTTATTTTGCAGGTCGCCTCTGCATCATTAGAGAGTTCTCTGTTAAAATACAGTGCTAAGGAATATTTTTTCCGTGCTGCGTTGTGTCACTTGTGTATAGATGCATTAAATGCCCAACACGCTATCGAGCGTTATCAGGAGCAGTATCCCGCTTTTCAGGATTCTAGAGAATACAAACTGATAATGGTAAATTATATATAGTCCTATCTTTTTCTTATTTAGGTCTGTATATATATATATATATATATATATATATATATATATATATATATATATATATGATAATAGTACATTACATCTTTTTTCTCTATATCTTTATTGTTAATTCTTTTGCGGATAGTACTCGATAATTCTTGAACATTGCGCATTTTCAGACACTGATAGAACATTTGGAAGAGCAAAATCTCGAAGGCTTCACAGAGGCAGTGAAAGAGTATGATTCAATTTCAAGATTGGATCAATGGTATACAACAGTATTATTACGTATAAAGAAGCAAGTTAATGATAATCCGGATCTACGCTGATCAGTTGTTTCTTATCCATGCTATTTTCAGGCAACGATATTATTCCAACTCCGCATATATTCATTTTTAAGTCACCTTGTTTTTTGTGAAAATGATCAAAGGATTCCATTTTTATATCCGGATATAATTACTCACATTGCTCCATCGTATATTCTCTCGACTATTATTATTTGTCTGTAGAACTTTTAAATTCTTAAGTATCCACAAAATCGTGGAGAATCACAGTATGTAAGATATTGTTTGGAACATCATGATTTTCCTTGTTATTCTCTTTTACTGCTAAAGTACGCAACCTTATTGTTGAATACCTCGGCGAATATCGTGTTTGTTGTTTTTATTATAAAATAATACAGCTCAGGTTCTTTACTATATTTCATCTAGAATTTATACTCTTGTGAATTAATTTAAACAAATGGAGCAGGGAAGTATTAAAGACTAGGTTTCTAAAAACCTAAATCAGAGATTAAGCAACAGCATATTAAATTCGTAGATTTTTAATTACTTTTTTTGTGCGCGTTTCTGAATCATTTTACAATAAAAATTTTTCCACTTATATATTTTTCTTTTCTATTCACGATAGTAAGAAGATTGATTGTTATTTGTTTGTATATGTATATATAATCTACATTTGTTGAGAGAATATTTTCATTTTATCTCTATGTGAGAGCGTAATTGTTAACAGGCTCACTTGTTTTTGGATTTTTTACGGCGAGGGAATGATATGTAACGTCATCATTTGTCATCCTTGCACTGCCAGAGTATCAAATGCAAACGTGTGTAGTATATACTTAATTGGTATATTTCAAGTTCAGTTTCTTCTCTTCATGTTTGTTTCCATTCGATCTTTTTCCGTCTTGTGTTTGTTTCATTTCAGATTGTGGCTGCTGATTATAGTTTATAGCTTAAATTAGCGACTATTAGTACACATAACACATATTCCTTCCTAATATTAAACTAAAGATACACATCGGTATAACTGTTATACAATGTTTTCTGCAATAGCATAGCGCCGTATTTAATCGTTAGTACTCATCGCCTATGGATAAGTGTACTCTTGCAAAAATCCGTAAGAAAAAGAAGAAAAAAAAAGAAAGAACAGAAGGAACACAATCGTGTGAGATGCATTTAGCTGGAATAACCAATTGAGAATATACATTTTTCTAAATTTGTCCTGTGTTACCTCATTACTATTGTATAATTATTTTTCATAATATATATTATCAAATTGGCGCGACACTTATAGCCGTAATTTATGATGCGTTGTCAAATTTGCTGATTTTACTCCGATGATCGTAAGGAAAACGTGAGACGTCAAATAATGTCACGGAAATTTCTTATATGTATTATCGTAGTGTTGCAAAGTACACAAGCACATAGAGTTAATTTAGCGAACGTAATGTTCGACACATTGATTTAACGATGGTCGCATCGAGAGATCTTTGCATTTTATATAAAAGCAAGTACATTGGTACGATACAACTCAAAGATATACAATAAAATTCCGCTGTTAACTAGGAGTAGAGAGAAACTATTTGCATGCACGCGAATAATGAATCACGCACTAGCGCGTAAGCATATGTATACTTATTGAAAACGAGAAAACAAGGACATACATAATAAAAGTTTCAGACTTTACGCATAATGTACGTTGTTTTCTGGTGAAAAAGAGAGAAAAGAAATAACCAGGCAGAGAGTACGAGATCTTTGTATAGTTCTAATGTAAAGACCTATATGTAATAATCGGTATTTTAATTATTTAATATTAAGTTCCACGTATAGTACGCGTCTATCGCTCTTTTGTTATTATTAATAATAACAATTACGTACTTCTAATTTGTTCGTTTCATCCAGTTTGCAATTAACGTATGTTTTCAGTATCAAATTATGTGCAATTACGCCTAACGTTGTGCAATGTTCACGCAGGATTTGTCATACGCACATGTGGATGCGCGTTTGCGTTATTATTTATATAAAAAAATACGCCGTTTATTTGTATAGTTTGGGTGCAGAGTACATGCTTGTAAATAACAAGAATGAAGGCAATGCTGTGCGCACCATAATGTTTTATCTGATTATATCATTATTTATACCCTGTATAAATGCGCGAGTCGATTAATGCGATTAATCATGCGCTTCTTCATTTTATTTTTTATCCCTTATAAACAGCTTGCTATCTAATATCTGTTGTATAATCACGAATAAGAATTAATATACGTTACATGCAGAAGCTGAAGTAGCATTGTTCATCTTTTGTGCTGTTGATATACTTGCACGATCAATTACCACAAATTATTAGCGAGAAAAATCCCTTCAACACGTAACACATGCATACTCTGCATATTTTAATGTGCGATAAACCTTTGTGTTATTACGTGTTTATTTGTATTATTTAAATTGTTAATTATGTAGATAGGATATATATATATATATATATATATATATATATATATATATATATATATATATATATATATATATATATATATATATATATATATATATATATATATATATATATATATATATATATATATATATATATATATATATATATATATATATATATATATATATATATCAGGCAGAGTACACGCGTACAAATGTCATCACGACAGGACGAATATTTTCATCTTTTATGTAAAACTCTAATTTATTCGCTTGTACATAATATGCTTTTAACTTTCTCGCACTTTGTATCTGGGGTTCGATTCTCTAACTAGTTACGTATACGTAAGTTTTACTGCGCAGGTTTAATAATACCATAAAATAGCTGCGTAGTAAAACTTACGTATTTGCAACTAATTCGAGAATCGAGCCTCTGATTGTTAACGGCTAAATAAGTGTCGCCGTTGATGAGATAAATTCAGTTGTAATATTTGGATGTAATCGGCTGATATGCTAGTATTTATTCTGCATTCTATTAATAAATAAAAAATATATATAGCCATTAAATTTTCTGATATATAATAAATATGTTTAGAGGATTATATATGTAAAAGACTTTATTATACAGCGAATAATATGCCTAATGAGTACTACATATAAAGAATATACTACTGCAAAGATTGTTTCTACAATACTTCAAGAATATTAAAATAATTTATTTTAATTTTAAAATGTGCTGAAGTAATTAAATAAATAAACTCAAATGTAATCTGATTTTTTCGTTTACATAATTTTCTATTCTAGAAAATATCACTTATATATATAATTTGTTTTTTTTTTTTTTTTTTTTTTTTTGTAAAAATAAATAATTATAAGATAATTATGAATATTTTGATACATGATATATCATTAATTTAATTATGTTAATATATGTTAATTTACATTATAAGCATGAAAAATAAATATCAATTTAAAGCTAAATACCGCTTTTAGTATTTTTTGTATTTAATACATAATTTTATATAGCGTTTCACAAAAAATCAAGTTGAGGTTTAGTTCATACAAAGAAGTAATGGATATTAGTAATTTTTATTGTTACTTGTTAAGATATTCGCTATATTTTGTAAAAAAAGCAAATTAATAATATAAAACTCCAATTGATAGATTTAGAAATACCCGCCAATTAAATCAATCGACAATCAATCAAGGTACTTATTATTGGAATCAATTCCGATCGGAAACATTTAGTTATTTCCTAGATTTCTATTGTCTTTTCTAGGGGAAACGGAATTATTCTGATCGGAATTGATTCCGAAGAAATCCATAATGGCTTGGTTTACATCGTGCACTTGATACACGTATTAAATAGTAACTTTCTATTAGATAATCTTAATATTAACAATGCATATCAACGGTGACGCGTTCAATCAATACAATATGTTTTCTTGATGAGAATTATATCAGCTTAATATACCGTTGTTTATATATATCGTCGATATTAAGATTATCTAATAGAAAGTTACTATTTAATACGCATATCAAGTGCACGATGTAAACCAGGCCAATAGATATGGAAGATTCACACCGCATCCGATGTCCGACGTACGACGTCCGATATCCAATAGAAGAACAGCTTTCCAATAGAGAATTGAATTCTCTATTAGAAAGCTGTTCTCTTATTGGATATTAGATGTCGTACGTCGGAAATCGCAGTGTGAATCCTGCAATACTACAGGTTTGTTCGCGTCGCATGCCCCAACGTGTTCCTACTCGCTGCAGCGCACTCTGATTGGTTCACATCACCACGCGATCAATCAGAGTGCGTTATGGCTCCTGCACACAGGACGCAGTAATCACTCTGAGACGGTTAATTGCTCTGAGATTAATGACGTCATAAGTCTCTACTAGCCAATCATAAAGCTTATAAGTACTTGTTCGACCAATAAACATAAGCTGAATAACCCAGAGCCAGTGGAACATGCTATCAGTCTCGCACTTCAATGCAGCGGGTGCACCTGGATGACATTTCCGAACGCACTCCTGGGGGTCAATTGTGTATCTTAAAGCAGAATGAAAATGACAAAAGTGAGCAAATTTACTATATTTGTAACTTCATTGGTCAATGCCTAGTGAATTTGTTCACTTTTGTAATTTTCATTCCATTTCAAGATACACAGGATCTGTTTTCTGTTCCTGCACTGATAAACTGGTGCAATAAATTAGAATGAGACAAGTATATTTTTTCTCACTCTAACTTATTGCACCAGTTCAGCAGTGCAGCTGAAAAGAGCAGACTACTGTATATACATACACAGATGTCGCTGATGAATATCACGTTTGAAAATTTAAAGGGTTTGTCAGTTATTGGGAGTCATGAAATGTGATTGATACATGTAAGAGAAGTGAGAGAATTTTATTGAAATTTTCACAACATTTCACTATCTTTAAAGATTACGTTGACGTTTTTATATTTACGCCGACGGAAAGTAAGTAATAATGACGAAATAATGTAATACTTTGAAAGACTTAGTAAATCTGCCATAATGAATATTGGCAATCATGGAAAGATTTTTGTTGTGTATTGGAATGTCATGTTGTATACATGTGATTGAGTAAAGGCAAGTAGATATTATTACATCATTAATACATTAGATAATATTTTCCCTTTTAGTCATACTGAGTATATTGGTTAATGCAATTGGTTAATACTATTTATAATGGCTAGCGGACATGTATTTAAGATACCATCAACATTACCATCAACACAATCTCATGACTACAAAGAAGCTATTCATGACACAATTTATAAAATGATGGAACATGTTGAGAATAGAGGCTCAAGGTACATAGATATATTATTGAATATTTTGAAGTAACTTCTAAGATTACTTAAAAAAGTTGTGTTTAAAATTTATTGAAATGAGATACATCAAAGTATGAGATAATTGTTTACAAGTTGATAACAATTTAATGATTTTATTTATGTTATTGAAAATTTATATAGTTAATTTGAGGAATTATGTAAAACAGAAAATTTAGATAATATGGTATTCTAACAAGCAAATATTCTTTCAAGAGTTACATGTTTTTTATGTTGTTAAACAGGTATCAATGGAGTTTGGATGATTTTGAAGTTGGATCACCTTTAGGGAGAGGAAAATTTGGCCGTGTATATTTAGCTAGAGAGAAGACTACTCAGTACATGGTAGCCTTAAAAACGCTATATAAAGTTGAATTAATAAAAGGACGTGTAGAGAAGCAAGTAATGCGAGAAATTGAAATACAGACACACTTAAAGTATGTACACTAAAAGTTTATGATGTGCATTTAAAATTTTTTTTTCTAAGAAAAATCTAAAGTTTATGTATATGTTTATAGACATCCACATATTCTTCAACTTCTAACATATTTCCATGATAACAAAAGAATTTATCTGGTTTTGGAATTTGCTGCAAGAGGAGAACTCTATAAGGAGCTAAAACGTCAACCAAATGAAAGATTTAATGAACACTTGTATGTATTTAACTTGCTTCCCATTATTACATATAACATACAAATTGTTCACTTGAATATATTTTCAGATCTGCTAAATATACTTATCAAGTAGCTGATGCTTTGGAGTACTGCCATAGAAACAATGTGATTCACAGAGATATAAAGCCTGAGAATTTATTACTTACATATGATGGAGATATAAAGCTTGCAGACTTTGGCTGGTCCGTGCATGCACCATCTTCAAAGTAAGAATAGAAAATACATATTTGCTACTTTGATAGTTAGTATTTTATTTCTTTTTACAAGTATTGTTTAAGGCTTTTGAGAGATTGCTGGAATTTGAAGAATTCATTATTTATATTCATATATGATTCTTTTAGACGAAACACATTATGTGGGACACTAGACTATTTGCCACCAGAAATGCTAACTGGACAGACGTATGATGTTTATGTTGATCATTGGTGTCTGGGTATTCTCTGTTACGAGTTTCTTACGGGACAACCACCTTTCTTGAGTTCTTCTCAACAAGAAACATATGCAAAAATAAAAACAATAAGTATGCAGTGGCCAGAACAGATTACATTCGGTGCTAAAGATCTTATCTCCAAGGTATGATGCTTTTGTATATTCCGAATATTTATATTAGAATACTCATAATGATGACACCTGATCTATCTATAAACATATTTCTATAGCTAATCAAGAAAAAGAGTTCAGAACGAATCTCTTTGGCCGCCGTTAAGAAACATTTCTGGATCTTGCAGCATAAAGATTCACCTTGATGAAACAGATTAGATTAAAAAGATATTTTATAGTTAAAGGACTATAGGAAGTTAAGAATTTTAATATTAAAGGACATCTTATAATTTGTAAGACATTTTTCTGTAATTATTTTAATACAATTTTATGATAAATAATGTATAAAAATATTAAATACATTTATCATGGCCAATTGAGATTGATACCTGTTACGTCTAACGCTACAATATCAACTTCAACATTAAGCAAATCACATAGACTTGGCTTAGTTCTGCCAAAATCTCCGTGTACAAATTCTTTAACGTATGTGCCCGCTTGTGTTTTAACGTCGAGAACGAAAAATTTGTCGGCGCTTTCAGCGGCGGTGTGCAGCAACTTCGTCAGTTCTTCAGGCTTCGCCCATCGTGTACGCATTTCGTAAACGATACGCGTACGCGAAGCCAAAGGCCGCCTGTGCAATACTCTTATTGGCGTTCGTTGAATGATTTTCATGTTTTTTAATTTATTAAGATTCTCTACTTGCGGTAAACAGTTGCTAGTGCTTCGACAGACACATAATGCTCGATAAAATTTCGTTTTGACGTGCTCTCCTTCCTTGAGCCTCTGCAGATCAAGTCTAAAAACAAGCATGTTTCAGTAGAATATTTTTCATTATGTTTTTTAAACAATCTTCAAACTGTCAATTTAATAGTTTAATCAGTCAGTTCTACTTATGTTTACGTCTCACGTTATTCCAATTTGTTAATTTGTGATTCACTTTAGAAACGTACCTCGAAAGAATTTTTAATCCTGACGTTATTTGAACCTGCTTGGTCGACTGATTAATGTTAGTGGCTAGATGCGTCAAAAGCTCGCTCGTAATGTTTGTCATGCGAGGATTCAACAACTCGACTGCGAATGGTCGACCATTGTATATATTTCGGACGTCGACGTCTTCTCTTCCCGATGATAAAAATTTTATAGCTGCGTAAATATAATGTTAAGTTTTGTTGAAAGTAAAAACATATATAGTAGAAGAATTATAAAAATATCAAATTTCTCCTAATTTATTAATTAATTTAGATAAATGTGCTTCAACTAATTGACGATTGATCTGAGCAAGCCCGCTAATTAAGTATAATAATTAATTAAGAAATTAATTACAACTTTGTGTACAATGATAAATAGAAATAAACACAATTATAACATACATCCTGCCTTCACAGCTTCTGCGATAGAGTTGCAGAGTAAGTCTTGTACCGAAGTTTCCACTTTCTTCTCACCATTTACAAACCATGGAGTTTGACTGAGTTCTCTTGAAAGTTTATTGTAACGTCCTGAAATTCTGAAGTTATATAAGACATTTCGTGCCACATTGCAGAAATAAATGACACGACAGGTATAGCTAATCAAAATTAGCTAATTAAAATTAAGTCGCGTCAATACCTCCTACGAAAATACTGCTATGGGAACACAGAATATTCTCCACTCGAACAAATGTTTGTGGCATAATCTGCGAGATCGTGAAGTGCTGTAAAAGTTGCTCATCTGTTATCTCGCTCAATAAAGTTTCGATACTCTTTCTACTAAATTCATTACCATTACCCTTTCTCTTCCGTTTGTTCTTATCATTCTTGTGTTTTTTTGTTCTAAAATAAAAAATGAAAGATCACTGAAGTTTTCTTCAAATACGTTTACTGCAAAAAGACAATCTTGTACTATTTAAAGTATCCTCTATTACTATCATTTGCTATCATTATCATTATACTTCTTTCTCAAATGAAATACAAATTAAGTAAATATTCGAATAATGCTTACAATTTTTCAAATATAATTTCATCATCATCATATATCCAAAAAATCTCAATAAGAAAAGGTGACGGTGTCAACTGATCTGTACGTTTTCTCATGGTTTGTTCAAGTTGCGGTGTCATAAACAATTTCCAAGTATCTTTGATATTTTGTAGTTTTGCCTTAAGAGAATTTACAGCAGATTCACAAATATTAGTTTCTTTAGTTATATAAGCATACAATATGTATTCTCTAAGCTTTACTGATACAGGAACAGTCAATGCACAAGTAAAAGTTGTACAATCATAATCTTCATTCTTCACTTTGTCTGTTATCTGTACAAATAATTAAAAAACATTAAATATCAATAGTGTAAAATCAAGAAAGGTATATATATATATATATATATATATATATATATATATATATATATATATATATATATATATATATA